CCATGGACACACTCTACGATTGCCATGGACACACCACGCGAGTACCATAAATCAACCATACGATTACTATGGGCAGCCACACGATTACCATACGAAAACCAAGCGTTTACGATTGGAAACCGTACGGTTACCATAAAAAACAATACGGCTGTTCTGTAAACAACCGTAAGATTAACATTGGAAGCCGTACGATCACCATACGACAGCAATGCGATTACCATGCTGATGCCATACGGTTGCCATAGGAAACCAAAACTCAGGTGAATCTTCAGGAATCCCACAGGAGGCCTCGGAGCCTCAAGGATCCGTACGGAATCTTCGGATCGTCCAGAATTCCTAGGGCATTTTCGGATCTTCAAGAATCCCGAGAGAGCCTCAGATCTTCAAGAATCCGTAAGGAATTCCGATGGCATCCTCGAATCGTCAAGAATCCGTAAGGCATCCGAGTCCCTAGGGCATCCTTGTGAATCTTCAGGAATCCATCAGGACGCCTGGGGAATCCTTACGGGGCTCTCGGATCCTCGAGATTCCTTACGGAACCCTCGTGGATCTTCCGGAATCTCTACGGAATCTCCGGGCCCCCAAGGACGCTTCAGGGGTCCTCGAGGGTTCCGGAATCCTTCGGGAATTTTTGCGGCTCCGCATGAAGCCTGTAGGATTCCATTTGAACCCCTAGGAGGAATTCTTTGGGAATCATCGGTAATCCCTATGACGTCTGTTGATCCTTTGGGAATCCCCAGCGAACCCTCTGGAATCTTAAGGGAATCTTCGGATCCTCAGGAATACCTGGGGGATCAGTTGGGAATCCTCGGGCCCTCAGAAATCCCAAAGGAATCCTTGGTCCTTCATGCATCCCTGAGAAATCCCCAGGGCACCTTCAGATCTTTTGGAATTCCTACGGGAATCCTCAGGTCCTGGAGACTCCCCTGGGGAACCCTAGTGAATCCCAGAACTTCCGTTGCGCAAACAGAGTAATGTCAACCCGACGATTAAGATTATTAGTACGACTACTACAATTATTGCTACAACTACGACCACTGAACATAGTACTACTCGTACTACTGATACTGATACTACTACTACTATTACTACTACTACTACTACTACTACTGCTGCTGCTGCTGCTACTACTACTACTACTACTACTACTACTACTACTACTGCTGCTACTGCTACTACTACTACTACTATTACTACTACTACTACTACTACTACTACTACTACTACTACTACTACTACTGCTACTGCTACTAGTGCTACGACTATCGCTACTACGACTATTACAGCCACAACTCTTTCTACTACTACTATTGCTACTACTAGTATTACTACCACCACTACCACTACCACTACTACTACTACAACTACTACAACTACTACTACTACTACTACTACTACTACGACTACGACTACTTCTTCTTCTACTACTACGACTTCTACTACTACTATTTCCACGACTACGACTACGACAGCTACGACTACAACGACTACTGCTACTACTACGACTACCACTACTACTACTACTACTATTACTACTACTACTACTATTACTACTTTTAGTAGTATTAGTAGTAGTAGTAGTAGTAGTAGTACTACTACTACTACTTTTACTCCTACTCCTACTCCTACTCCTACTCCTACTCCTACTCCTACTCCTACTCCTACTCCTACTCCTACTCCTACTCCTACTACTATGACTACTACTACTACTACTACTACCACTACTATTACTATTACTACTACTGCTACTACTACTTACTTCTACTACTTCTACTACTACTACTACTACTACTACTACTACTACTACTAACTACTACTACTACTACTACTACTACTACTACTACTACTACTAACTACTACTACTACTACTACTACTACTACTTACTACTACTACTACTACTACTACTACTACTACTACTACTACTACTACTACTACTACTACTACTACTACTACTACTACTACTACTACTACTACTACTACTACTACTACTACTACTACTACTACTACTACTACTACTACTACTACTACTACTACTACTACTACTACTACTACTACTACTACTACTACTACTACTGCTGCTGCTGCTGCTGCTGCTGCTGCTGCTGCTGCTGCTGCTGCTGCTGCTGCTGCTGCTACTACTACTACTACTACTACTATCCTGTACTCCATCCTTATATCGGTTGCAAGCTTTCAAGACGAATGTGCGCGGCCCTACGGCGATGGCCACATTTTGACACGGAGCCGCCCTCCATCCTTGAAGCAGTTGCAAACAGTTGAGACGAATGTGTGCGCGGGCAAGGCGCCAACAACATTTTTCAAGCACCCCCTTTTCATACTAGAAATTGTTGCAAACTTTCAAAGGCGAACGAATGAACACCGCTAAGGCGAGAGCCACATTTTGAACATGACCCCCTCCATCCTTGAGGCTGCTGCAAACTTGTGAGGCGAATGTGCGCGGCGCTGAGGCGAGAGTCACAGTTTGAAAACGGCCCCCTCGATGTTTGAAACTGTTGCACGTGTCGCGTTTCATGATCATGAATGGTGAGGAAGCCTCAGGCGAATCGCTAGGCCTGCCCTGCCGACACGTCTTGGGGTGCGACAAGGAGGAGTGACTTGCGAGGACAAGGCACGGAGGAGGAGGTGGAGTTGGAGGATGAGGAGGAGGAACAGGAGGAAGAGGAGGATGATGAGGAGGAAGAGGAGGAGGAGGAGGAGAAGGAGGAGGAGGAGGAGGAGGAGGAGCATGAGCAGGAGCAGGAGGAGCGGGAGCAGGAGGAGGAGGAGGAGGAGGAGGAGGAGGAGGAGGAGGTGGAGAAGGAGGTGGATGAGGAGGTGGAGGAGGAGGAGGTGGAGGAGGAGGAGGAGGAGGAGAGGAGACACTGGGATGGCTCGTGGTGGAGAGGCGCAGAATGCCATCACCATGTTCAACGGCGCCGAGATCAACGGCCAGAAGATCGAGGTCGACCCGTGGGTGAGGAAGGAGAAGGGCGCGTGAGGGCGAGGCCGACCCGTGAGCGCGCGCTCGGGCCCTCGCCCTGCCCCCGCCCCCCCCTCTCCCTCCCGCCCTCGCCCTGCAGTTTAGCTCATCGGGCAGTCGACGATCGCCCCTCGCCATCGCCAAAGAGCGCCTCGGGACCCCCGGAGATCGACGAAGATCGCGCCCCGAGGTGCCATGCCGCAGGATTTCTTGTCGTGCGTGCCTGCCGTGCTCCTCCTGCCCCTCCGTTCCCCTCCTCCGTGGATGCGCATCCCCTCCTCGTCGCATCACCAGGCGTGTCGGCAGGGCTGGTCCAGGCCCGTCGCTCCTCCCCGTTGGTGCTCCCGGAGTGGAGGGCCAAGCGAGAGGCGGAGGAAGAAGGGCTCTCACAGCGCGACCCTCGCGTACGCGCCGCGCACGTTCGTCTCTCGAGCTCCCCGTCGCGGATGGAGGGCATGTGCATGTCAAGATGCGGCTCTTGCATCGGCGCCGCGTGCATTCGTCTCACTGTCGGAAAGTGTGGCTTACAGTGAAGGCCCATGCCAAGAAACTCCCTGCTTGCCTCCAGGGTGCCCTGGGTTTCTTGGGTTCCGATGGTTCTGCCATGGAAAGCGTGACGTTCCCACCTTTTGAAAACATCAATGAACGTTCTGGGGTCCCAGGGCTTGGGTTTCTTGTGGACGGCTCCTTGTGGTCGGGGCCCCCACTGTACACACGCTGTCCACATCCCCGTCCCAAGGCGTCCACAGTCCGAGCCTCTCGAGGCCCTTCCTGGCACGCGGAGCGGGGCGACACCTTGTCCGCGCGAGTGGCACGGCGTGTCGCCGGGGCCGCCGCCGCGGCAAAGGTCCCCGTAGTTGCCAGCAGTCGCAGGGGCGTCGGCACCCTTCAACGGCGGGCTGTCGGTTGATGCTTCCTCCGCTTGTGCGGGCAGAGCTGTGACATTGTGCAACGGTTGCGCAGATGGCGGGCAGTCCCTTCTCATCATGAGGCTCTATCACAAGATTTCCGGGGGCTTCCTGGCCAGACATCCTGCTCGGTGCAAACTTTGGACGGATGGAAGGCGTCCCGTTTGCAAAACGGGCTCTTGATTGACGTTTCCTCGAGTGTCTAGTCGTATTGGAGTGGACTTGCGGCCAGTGCCGCCGACCCTGAACGACGACGACGAGGCCGACGACGATGACGACGACGAGGCCGACGACGACGAGGCCGACGACGACGACGACGAAGACGAGAGCTTTCGGGGGCCTCTTAGGGGGGAGTTTTTGGGCCTCTTTGGGGGCTCTTGGTGACCTGTTGGGAGCCTCGTGGGGCCCTCTTGGGGCTTCCTTGGGGTCTCTTGGGGGCCTCCTCGGGCCTCTTTTCGGGCTTCTTGGGGGCATCTGGGGGCATCTTGGGAGCCTCTCAGGCCGAAGGCTTGAAATGTTCGTTCGGGTCCCCCGTTTGGCCTCCATCTTGGAGCCGTCTTGGGGGCCTCTTGGGCTGTCTTGGAGGCATCTTGGGCGGTCTTGGGGCCCTCTTGGGTCGTTTTGGGGCCCTCTTGGAGGCCTCTTGGGCGATCTTGCGGGCCTCATAGGCTGTTTTGGAGCGGGGGCGCGCATGGACGTTGTCGTCAACTCGGGCTGTCGAGTTCGACGGCCGCGAGTCTCGGCCCCCCTCGCTCTTCGCCTCTGGGCGGCGGCGAGCCACGTGCATTTCGCGCGGCCGTGCGGCGGTGAAGCGCCGCTCTGCCGTCGCGCGTGGGCTAGTCCTGTGGCGCGTGTGCGGCCTCTGCATTGCCTCAGTAGCCGCCGCGCCTGCCGCCGCCGCCGACGCCTCCGCGGCGGCGCCCAGCCCTCCCGCGGGGGCGAGGCTGGGGCTTAGTTTTGCCCGTCCTCGTGCCCCTCGAACTCCTCCTCTCGTTGCGTAACTCTAACCCTACCTCTCCTTACCTTGATCGGCGCTCGAAGTCAGTCGACGCCTGAAAGCTCTGGCTCGCGGAGCATTCTCGCGTCGCTGCTGCCGCGCCTCATCGCAGCGGGCTCCTGCTCGCGTGGTTTCTTGCCATCTTCGGGCCGTGGCTTCGCGATGTGGGACTCCCGCGCTGCGTGGTGCATGCCGTTCTGGGCATTCAGGCAGAGCGCCCGCGCTGGCATGCTCTCCTTTTGGAAGCCTGGGATGTAGCCTCCCGCGCTCCACTCTCCGTTGCCTCGCGCCATGCTTCGGGCGGTGGTTGGTCTCGTCTTGCCCTGGGACCGGCCGCTCGCGGCAGCTTTGCTGCGGATGGGTTTCGCTGTGTTGCACCCTGGCGAACTGCTGGCTGCCCGCCGCTGCGACTTTCTCGCTACCTAGCAATATGCTGGAGGCCAGCGGCGTTGCCTCGCGCCATGCTTCGGGCGATGGTTGGTCTCGTCTTGCTCTGGGACTGGCTGCTCGCGGCAGCTCTGCTGCTGATGGGTTTCGCTATGTTACACCCTGGCGAACTGTGGCTGCCCGCCGCTGCGACCTTCTCGCTACCCAGCGATAGGTGGGAGGCCAGCGGCGATGCCTTCCTTGCCATCGGGGCGCCGAAGAACCGCCTGGCCTGTCCGACGCAGCTCGCCCGCTGCTCCGACAGGTCGTCGGTGGGGCCCACGGAATTGGTGTTCTAGCATTTTGGTTTTACCGATCCGCTTGCGCCCTTCGGGCAGAGTGGCCCCCGCGCTCGGTGGAACCGCCTGCTTTCGGCCTTGGGCGCCTGGCAATCCAGGGCGGCCCGCGTGCTGAACCTCGCCCCTGCTTGTTTGCGAGTCTCAGGGGCGACGGGCTTCTATGCGGCCACTGCAGGCGTTTCTTGCGTTTTCTCGCGCGGCCGCTGGCGCCAGGCCTCTAGCGCTGGGCGCTATCTCCAGGCCGCCGTCGCTTCGTCCTTCGCGCCCGCCCGCCCTTCCTGCGTTTACTCGTGCGCGCGTTGCGTGCTGCGCTGCCGCAGGCGATCGCCTTGTCGCCCCCTTTCCTGCCGTGGGCCCTTCTGCGTGGTCCACGCAACTTCCGGCCGCCCGCTAGAGCCTTGTCACTTCGCAAGTGCTTTGGGCATGGGCGTGGCTGGACGTGCTCGTCAGCGCGTAGGAGATTATCTCCTGAGCGGCGCTGCTTGGCCCGGGCGCGCGGCTGGGGGGCTCGGGCTTTTCGGGCCTCTCTCCGCGCGCGCCGGCCTCGGCCTCCGCGCAAAACCCGATCGCGAGCGCGGGGTGGGATATTTTTTTTTTGTTCTTCTCACCCCCTCGCGCCAGTTTGGGCTTTGCAGTTTCTCGTCCCGCCCCCCTCACTCCGCCCTCTTGTCCACCGAGGTTAGCGGTGCTGGGCGCGCTCGTCAGCGCGCGGGAGGTCACCTCCTGAGCGGGCCCGCTCGGCCCGCGCGCGCGGTCCGGGGGCTCGGGCCTTGCGGGCCCCCCTCCGCGCGCGCCGGACGCGGCCTCCGTTCGAAACCCGATCGCGGGCGCGAGGCCGGGGAACTTTTGTCCGTTCGGTCGCCCCTGGGAGCGCTCTTGGAGGCCTGTTGGGGAGATGTGAGAACCTCTTGAGCCGTCTGGAGGCTACTTTCGCGTCTTGGACCGATAATTCGGCGATTCGGGGCCTTCGAGGACCGCCTTGGGGGCCTCTTGGGGCACTCTTGCCGCATTTGGGGGCTTTTCTGGGCCCCGGAACCGCCTGGGGGGGGGCGCGCGTATGGGGGCGATTCACCCCCTGGGGCCCACCCCTTGGGCGACCCTCCGGGCGCCCCCCCCCGGCGGGGAAGGGATCAAATGTCGGGTTGGGAGGCGCGCTTAAGGAGGAGGGCCCAGGGAAAAGAGACGGGGGACGACAGAGACGACGAGGAGACGATGGAGACGGAGACGACGAGGAGACGACGGAGACGACGCGACGACGACGACGGCGACCAACGGAGTAACGTCTTCCACGCGCCGACAAGGGTCGGCGGATGAGATAAGATGGTGAGCGTATCATTTTCAAAGAGGTTTTCCCCAGAGTGGCAAGACCATGGAACGTTCGTTTTTCAAGTTGGCGTTTCCGGTGTTCGAACATGATGTATGTGCGAGGCACATAGCCAAGGAACCTGGAATGGTGTATTCCAGCATCGTTCATGCATTATAGTTTCACCCTGGTCCTCTTTATGCCCCTCTTCCCTGGACGCTTCCCTCTCTTGCCCTCTTGAGAAGAAAAGAGGAGGACAAGGAAAAAAGGAGGGGGAGGAGGAGGGGGAGGATGGGAAGAGGAGGAACACTATGCTGCTGATGATGCTGATGCTGATGCTGATGCTGATGCTGATGCTGATGATGATGATGATGATGATGATGATGATGATGATGATGATGATGATGAGGATGAGGATGACTCAGATGAGGAGGAGGATGGTGACGGTTATGGTAATGGTGATGCTGCTGCTGCTGCTGCTGATGATGATGATGATGATGATGATGATGATGGTCAGGGTGGTGATGCTGATGCTGATGCTGCTGATGCTGCTGCTGCTGATGACGGGGGTGCTTGGGAAGGCGATGGTGGTGCTGTTTTTGTCGTTGTTGGTGGTCATGCTAATGCTGATGCAGATGGTAATGGTGCTGAATATCATGATGATGTTGATGATGTCGATTAGGAGGATGATGCTGATGGCGCCGATGATGATGTTGATGATGATGATGTAGCTACGACTTGTGATGCTGATGATGATGCCGTTGGTGATGTTGTTGATGATGATGACGGTGATGATGATGGTGATCATGATGAAGTTGCGGGCAGTTCTGATTAGTCTGATTATGCTTACGATGCTGCTCTGATGCTGCTCAGATGATGCTTCGGCTGCTGCTGATGATGATTCTGATTATGATGATGATGATGATGATGATGATGATGATGATGATGATGATGATGATGATGATGATGATGATGATGATGATGATGATGATGATGATGAGGATGGTGTTGATGATGCTGATGAGGAGGAGGAGGAGGGGGAGGAGAAGGAGGAGGAGGAGGAAGAGAGAAGGAAGGAGAAATGA